GTGTAACTCACCAGTAGTCGTCGCCAGCCATGCATTTCTCATAGACGGGGCCATCGAGCTCCTTTGCATCTGGAAAAATAGTTTCGTGGTGGATGATGATGGTTTTGACAATTTCATTCACATGAGCCTGGCAAGACACTTGGTCCTGTGTTTCTGGGACAGGCATCAATGTCGGGCCAAAGCAAATGGCCAGGTTATAAGGGTCCATCATGTTCTCATCACTGTACTGGGAAAGGCTGTAAAAAGAAGCAAGAAATGAATTATTATAAAAGGTAAGGACAAAAAAGAAAACAGATGTTTAACAAGACACCTTATATCCTGAAAATGTGGATCTAAGATACCCTGGTGGGCTTTTATTATTAGAATAAAATGATATTCCATCTACTTAGTGAACTCCAAAAGTAGTAAAATGGCTTATGATCTTCAACTCTATTGCAGCTCAATTTATAATTGCCAAAATGTGGACATAGTCTAAACGCCCATCAACCTAGGAATGGATTAACAAGCTGTGGTATACGTACACCATGGAATACTATTCAGCCACTAAAAAAATGGAGATTTTGCAGCATTTGTATTAACATGGATGGAAGTTACCCACATTATTCTTAGTTAAGCATCACAAGAATGGAGAAGCAAGAATCCGATATACTCAATTTTGATATGAGGACGATTAATGACACATGGAGGGGGTGAGCAGAGAGAGGAAGAAGGAGGGAGGAGTGGGGAAGGGATTAGCGGAGAAAGTGACAGAGGGAGGGGGGTGGGGTCTTGGTGTGTGCCACACCTTTTGGGGGCAAGACATGATTGTAAGAGGGACTTTACCTAACAAATGCAATCAGTGAAACCTGGTTTCTTGTACTCTCAATGAATCCCCAACAATAAATTAAAAAAAAATAAATTAATAGGGGAACAGATGTCCTACTTGTTTAATTATGTGGCATTTTCCAAAGTCACGAGGGAGTTTAATATGACACCCACTGCGCTGGGGGCCAGGATCGAGGCGCTGAGTCTCACTCTTAAACCTCAGGGCCGGGCTCTACGGGCTGCTCAGGCAAATTTGGGAGAGTCAGCAACAACTTCCTAGAGCTTTTTGAATGTCTTTAAAATTGTCCTCCCGGCACTCAGAAATATCTCAGGTTGAAGTTTTATCTTACATGTACAAATCTGTAAGAAAGTCTGGAAGAAAACGAAGCCCTGTTTCTTGTAAGTACTGAAAGGCCGTACACGACGTCAGGCTTTAGGATCTACCTTTGGGTAGGATTACAGAGACCAGGTGTCAGCTGATGCACCCGCCCGGGGAAGGACTCTCTAATTCTCTGAATTCTGTCGTAGGCTGGGAAACTGGGGGGAGATTTCCAGTTTTCCAGGACCAATTTCTTTTTTTCTTTTTGCAGTTTTTGGCCAGGGCTGGGTTTGAACCCACCCCTTCCTGCATATGGGGCTGGCACCCTATTCCTTTGAGCCACAGGTGCTGCCCATCCCGGACTAATTTCTAAAGTCAGCCTCATGGATGTTTGTGAAATATTTTCACAGGTGACTGAAAATAAACCAGCTCTTCGTTGCTCTGCCTCTAAACATGGGCAAGCTGCTGTTCTCGGGAGCATTTGGAGATGTTATCTTTCAGGATAAAGAATGTTAACCTTAAAAGGAAATGTAAAATCCAGGTGAGCAGATGACAGATGGAAAGAGGTAAAGGATCCTCGGCTACCTCGTGAGACGAGGCCAGATAACAAAGAAACTGAGACAGCACGTGCCTGATCCTTGACCTCCTTTTCAGAAATGGGATAGTCTAGAAAGCAGAAAAATACAAAAGCGCAATTCTCATAGCTAACATATGTCTTTCCCTTCTGCCATTTCTCAAACATACAATCTTAAAGGTTCACTGTAACAGCAAGCGATCATGTTACGGAGCGTCTTGACAATGGATGCAGACTCAGAATAAGAAAGATCCAGTTTCAAAACACACACGGCAGCTCGAGGGGAGAGCCACAGTTCATCTTCCTGGGTCTTCAATGTAGTGCCGGCTTGACAAGCAAAAACTTGACAGATAAATGTCAATTCAAAGTTCTGATTTTATAATAAAAAATAAAAGTGAATCTTTCTTTCCCAATTCCCTGCTGCACACATCCTGCCCTGGAGCGTAGGCCCTGGTGAACCAGGTGGACGCGGGAAGCTGCATCATCTGACCCGTGTGGTCCTCGCCTCTCTGTTGAGATGCGTGATGAGTTATCTTGAGTTTTGAGAGCTTCCCTAATTAACCACCTGCTTCCCTAGTACCTCAGGGTTTACTGGTTCATGATGGACTTTGCTTAAGTGAGTCAGGGAGGTTTGGCGGGAACAGCAGGGAGAGGGCCGGTAGGAGTGTGAGGTGCACTGTCTAGGGAGTGGGACAGAGACAAGCCTCTGAGTTCTCACAACTGCCTGGGAGACCAGGTTTACTTAAATGTAAAATCATATAGCATCTAACCTAATCATGGTTTAAACCCGTCTCCCTAGATACTGCTTGTGGCCAGTGGTGCTTTCTGTTCAAACGGGTTCCTACTGTCATTTGTGAATGTATTGGGCCCTTCAAGGACAGCAGTAGATTCCTATTCTGTTGGGTCCCTCTCAGTGTCCCTCTATTGTGTGACGCTTGCTTGGCTCCTGGGGTCAACCTGAGAGGTGGGTGATTTCAGGACAGGCCAGAGGGCTTGCATTAATAATAAATCTCCATGGTGTTTGAGGACTCAAAACGTCCTGTGAAATAGAGAAAAGAAAGTACCCTGATATTAAAAAGGGAGTATCCACACCAGAATGAGAAGGTGTCCCCAGGCCACTTAGGAAGGTGAGGCCCTGATGTCTTTGTGTCCATCTGCTTAAAGGAACTGTTGAACAGTGAGGAGATTCTTAGACAGAACGTGGGGCAGGTGTTCTTCTGATGGCCCCCATTTGCCTAAAATAAAAGAATCAGGTTTCTTTGAAAAGAATGTGGTGATTTTTAAGATTTCTGTTACATTGTTGGAGAGAACATTTTACAAGTGTTTTCTTCTTGACCAGGTCTCCTTACAGTGAGTTTGCGGGAGGTGTTTTGTTTAAGTTTCACCTATGACTTCCCTCTGCCCCTGACCATGACAGTGAAAATCACAGACATTTTCTCCACTCAGTGGCTGATTAACATCATTGTCACAAAAAAAATTCATGACATTCATTCTGGAAGGAGGTTGGAAAAACACATATTTCACTGAAAAGTGTTATTTTTAGTAGTATTGGAATATTTTTGCATTTACAACCACAATTTCTGCACCTGGGGTAGAGCTTTCATCTGTCAACAATGACTTTGATCTGTCGAGGAGAAATATATCTTCAGTCTGTACTCAATCATTTTCTCTCCAGCTTCACTGATAAATGGAAACCAGGGTACATTTCATAGGAACCAAAACAAGGAAGAATTCAGATGAGGGGGCAGAGGGTCAGAGTACTCACTGGTTGAGGAAGGCGAAGAGATACCTCATCACTGTCAGGATGGACCGGGGCAAGGTCAGGAGGAGTTTGCGTATGTGCAGCGCCCTCTCATAGAGATTGTCCACTCCTGCGGACAGAGGAGGACACGGTCAGGCCCTGCGCTGGCTGCATGGACAGCAGAACGCTGCAGCACACACACCAAAGGTCCATATCGAGCACAGACAATGCCTGGCTCCAGGTGAGAGGCAAGTGTGACCAACACCATGAGACTGGTGTGGCCGTACCTCTCTGCCCCTCACTGTCCTCTGGTTTGCATGGTGTGAGTCTTGCCTCTGAGTAATTTAGAGTTCCAGATTTATAGAACAGTTTTTCCCTTGCTGTTAATCTAAATTTTGCATCTGGTATGGTTTCAGCTCCTTGTTGCGTGTTTACTAAAGTAGAGTTCTGGACACAGCA